TCTCTGAGATAGGATGAAAGTGAATTACCCACAGCTGACCAAGAAGGCTGGAATACAACACAAGATAAGTAAGAATGCTTTAGGTCCTTTCTCAGGACATAGGACCTAACACATTGGCCAGGAACCAAGAGATAGGGCAAATCTGCTGCCAGGATGGCCCTTACGGACCTAAATCAAGTGATGGCCAAACAGTGAGTAAAATAAAAAGGTCAGCTAATAGGTGGGCAGGCTAGAATGGATATATCATGTATGAGTCAGAAAACCCACCTGAAGATTATGTTCCATGGGAAGAGAGTAGAATGGACAATGTACTGCTCATTAAGAACCCCATGAACATGCTGGTGAAAAAGGCAATAGCATTACTAAGTTCTGCCATGGTCTCCTCCGCAGGCCTGAGTTGACAAGATTAGGCAGTCATAAATCTGGATTTGTTAATACCTATGTAATGATTTGCCAGCCAACTCCCTGAAACCCTGGTAACAGAAACCAGATGAGAATTGCTAAACCACAGAAGCTAAGAGGTCTCATATCATGACCAGTAAGGTGGAAGAGGGAGCTAAGGGAAACTGCAGAGATGCTTAATAGAACAGTGAGTGAGAAGTGAAATAGATGGATAGCCAACAAGGATGCTTCTTAACATCTAAAACCAAGAAAGGTCAAGAATGGAAGAGCGCAGGAGGCTGAGGATGGTCACCCCAATAAAAGGCACAATGCTTGCTTAGTTCCTAAGCTTCAGTTAATAATTTTACCTACACAGGTCTTATTTGTCAAAATCTTTTAGTTCTCCTTTAAAATTAATTTAAATCCTCCATAATTCCACTTAGATTTGAACTTCAAAGAATATAAACCTCTAAATATCCTTTCTACTTGTATTAAAATGCTATTATGTCCTTCTGGTTACCACATGCTGTAGATCTGAGAAACTTAATATCAAAGGAAGGACTGTTAGGTAAACTGTATGTCAACAAGATTTCTACTGACTCCTCTCATAGCTGCCAGTTTTTAGAATATCACAAACAGGAAGAAAAGCAAGTAACTAAATATAGAATATTGCGTGGATGATGATACTGATTTTTTAAATGGTCTATAATAAGTGATTTTTTTTCAATGATCTATTTCAACATAAGATTTCATAAGATTTCAAGTTGATCTTTGAGAAGCAAAGAGTTGAAAGTGTAGAAATTAAAAAGAGAAGTGGGTTTCTACACAACATTCAAGTGGACAACAACTATGGAAGTGAACACAGATTTCAACTTTTTATAGAATAATTTTAAAGCATATACACAAATAGATTAAAATAGAACATTTAGCAATATGACATGTTTCCTTAGATGTTTATTAAAAGCTTCAATTTCCTATAGACATTTTATAAATATGTGTGTTTTCCCCTTGTTTATTTGGGAAAGTTCAAAAAGGATAGTGAAAGCTATTTTAAGCACATTACTAAAATTTAGCTAGAATAAACTATAGTGTTATACAAATACAGAAGAACACAGATAGGTTACTGATCCATAACTATTTTAAACATTTCGTAATTTTCAAAGGCCATGTTGATGTGCCTATGAAAAAGGTAAAGGCAAAATAAAACTTTGGACTAGAGCAGTGGCATATACTTGTAAACCTAGCAACTCAAGAGGCTGAGGAGATTTACAAGTTTAAGGCCAGTCTGAGCAACTTAGTGAGACACTTTCTCAAAATAAAAAATAAAAAGGGCTGGAGATGTAGTTTGGTGGGAAAGCACCCATGGTTTCAATCCCCAGTACCAAAAAATAAATAAATAAATACAAATGAAAACAAGAACTTGAGACCTAAGCATCCACTGTGGCTAAGTGTCCAAATCAGTGAGACAGTTTATGGTAGAGAGTTACCTGCAGAGCAAGCAAACCCAAATAAGCACCAAATGGCCACCAAGTAACAGGTGACTTCTTATAGCTATTAAATTTAATCCTCAGAAAAACATTTATTATTATTATACTTCTTTGTCAAAAGTGGAACTAGGTTTTGAAAAACCAAGCAGCTCTCTGCACATAGCTCTCTGCATATAGGCAGAGACTATAGATTTAATCCAGATCTTCTGATACTAGCTGTAGTATTTGTTCTACTTTGGCAAACTTTTCTTGTAAAAAGCAGGATAATAAATATTTCAGGTTTTGCAAGCTGCAGAGTCTCTGTCCACACTACAACCTTGTGATAAGAAAACAGTTACAGATAACGTGTTAATAAATGGATCTAACCAATGTTCCATAAAAATTCATTTACAAATATAAGTGGTGGGAAGAAATCAATTTGGCCAGTGTTATGGCTTGCCAATCATAATATACATTAAAACATTAATATACATTAAAAATTACTAAAGATTCTCCTTTTCTGACCTTCAGAGTTATTTTTCATTTCTGCTCTGCTTATTCTACTGAACACTCAACAATTATTATGACATCATATATTCATCTTCCCATTTCTAACTCTGCCCTAGTGCACTGGGCTGCCTCTCTCTAACACCAATTCCTTTTATTTTTTATTTTTTGGATAAACACTTTAAGGTATCTTTCTTTTCTTTTCGTTTCTTCCTTTTAATGTGAATACCAATACTGGAAAAATGTTTTGCTTTGTTTTTCTCCTACTCTTAGTAAAAATACCTTTTTGGAATCTCAAAATGGAAAAAGAATGCATTCTTAAAATTTTCAATATCCTCACTGAATATTTTTAAATGTTAATGAAAACTTGATACTGCTTTCTATTTTCCAAGGTGCTAATATCTGTGCAACAGTGTCATCTTTGTAATCTTCCATGACTTAATTATATATATTTCTCCAGGACTCAAAACATGTCTTGT